TGGGCCGCAGGAGTCAGAGCTGCTGCGGGGTCCTCTGCGGGTCCTGCCGTGGCCTTGGGAGCAGAGGGAAGCGAGGACAGGGCTCCTGCTCCCCCCCGCGCCACCCGACTTTGGGCTCAGCACCTCCGTGACAGCACCCCTGTTCACACGGCACGAAAAATGTTCCATCTTCCCCTCTGACTAATAAGGACTTTGCCACAGAAAGTGACTAGAAATACATTATACATGAGACACAGTTTCTGAACTGGTTGCAAGTGTTGTTCCAGGATATTTTTACTTCTCTTCAAACAATCCCTCCAGGGGTGAACTAACCTAACAAGAAGTTAAATGGAGATAGAAAAGAGTCTTGAAGGACTCCACTGGGCCCCATCCCGACAAGCCAGCCCAGGACAGGCCCCCTCGGCCCTCTGTGGCTTCGGGGTCTTGTATCTTCCCTTGAAACAGCCGAGCGATGTTACCGGAGCTCAGGTCCACAAGGTGCATGTTTCAGAAAACCAACAACTTCCCCAATTTGGGTATTAAAAATGTGGATTCTGATCAGACCTGTCTTCAGATTCCAGCTCCACCGACCTGGGAAGCTTGAGACCCCGGAGGTAAACGTCTCCACGCCCCAGCTTCTCGTCTATCAAGTGGGGCTCCAGTTCATTCTTTTAAAGGCAAACAGTGGTCACTCAGGAAATGTAAGCATCTCTCAGACCCATCACGCTTTAGAAACCCTCCAGCCAACAGAGAATTCAGATCTGGAAGATTTCTGAGTCGAGGATGGCATGTCTACGGTCACTGAGTTTGCATGCCTCTTTTCACTGCATTACGTCTCTCAAATAAAATACACCACTCCCTCCAGAACCCCACAGGAAGAACTGCACCAGCCACCAAAAAGGCTGGAAATCAAGTCAGTCCCTTATGGCAGGGATTAGAGAAAAAGGACCATCTTCGCTCTTCTTCCAAGTAGCTAATACATGACAAACATTGTGATCCCAAGCGACGTGGGTCTTTCTCTCGGTTCCAGTCCATTAATGCATTCAGTAGCCTCCTCTGAGGTCAAAGAAATGAGGGCAGAGTTTGAAGCCTTCCATTTATAAATGTGTAGAGTCAGCAAACAGCTGATGCCTACAGGCGCAGGACACAATCACTTTTTTAAAAAAGAATCTCCCCCTTATGTAAGTAGCACATGCTTACAGCGTCAGTGAGCCATTGCCTTAATAATGCTGCATAACAAATCATTCCTAAATTCAGTGATAATCAGTCATACTTGCTCGTGCATCTAAAGGTCGACTGGGGGGGTCACCAGATCCAGTGGTTGTGGCTCTGAGCTCCAGGTACGCTGCCTCCTAGGCTCCTTGCACCAGTGGGTTGGCCTTGGTGGTGTCAGAAGTTCAAGACAGAAGGGACACCCAGGACTCTGAAGACAGCAGCACACATAGCCGGCCCAACATGAGTGTGGGGGAGGGTACCTGCGCAATCACATGGGAAGGTCATGGGTACAGGCAGGGCCTCTAGCTTCAGGGACGGGACCTGTGCAGACGCACATGACCCCACTGACACAGGGGAGGGGGAAGAATTGGGAACAACTCGCCAAACGGGCTCTGTGCTGAAAACAGGTCCTAGCCGCTCCCCACCTCCTCCAACCCCGCTGATGGGACCTCATCGTGGAACTTCTGCAGGGGACCTGGGATTCACAGCATTCAGGTGTACCTCACCCCATGCCACTGTCTCCGGCCCCGCAGGTGTGTTTCAGGTAAGTATGAAGGGGGAGGGGCACAGGTGGTCACTAGTGGTAACACGCGTGGCCTTAAAACCACCCTGTTCTTTCCAGATTAAAACCTGGCACACCCGCCCCCTCCCACCAGCCTGATTATACCCCAGGAAACTTGACGCCCCAGCCCCCCAGCCCCATCCACTCCTCCTCCTCCTCCATGTCCCAGGGCAACTGCTCAATGGAGTGGGGGAGAATTATCCACCCCCCAGGGGTTTTTAGAACCACAAATATCAGAAACCCACAGCGTGGTTGGAGATGCGCTTGTGGAGTTTGGGGGGCAAGTTGGAGATACACTTAAGTGTCAAAGCCAGAAGGGACATCACAAATTCTGCCCTGAGTCCCTTCCCCCTCGAGCAGGCTCAGCCAACACAAAACTGTCACAGACTGTTGTCTGACTTGGCCCGAGGAAGGTGACATTTCATGGGCCCCCGGGGACAACCAAATCCAGATTCTGATGAGCCCCGCTCACGAAGCCCGCTGCTTCTCACACTCCTGCCAACCTCGGTCTCCATATCAGCTCCTTCCCTCCAACCCTTTCCTGAAGCTGGAGACACAGCTGCCCCCCCCACCCCGGCAGGTCAGCCTCCTCCCCCCAGGAGCCTGTGATGAGTCCGGCTCCCAAGCTGTCCTCCACCACAACCCACGGAGCCCGCGTCCCGCTCCAGCGGGAGAGCAGCATGTGAAATGGCTCTTGCCACGGAAAATGAATCCCACGCGTACGTTGACGCGAGAATCCTACAGTTCAGACAATTACCCGGAGAACACATTTTCTGATAATTAGAGAGCTAAAAACGGATCCACTTTGAAAATCCCTTCCTTCCTCCCCAGAAAGCTGAGGAGGTGGTTTAGCAACAATCAGACACGGAGATACATCACATTCTGGGTGTTTGGGGGACAAGTTCCAAGAAATTTCTTGGAAGGTATATTTCCCAGAAGGTGGCGGGGCTAACCAGACCTGTTGGCCCTCCCCACGTCCCCGGCAAGGGCTCCAGCTGGGGAGGCCACCGGCCATGGGCCACCTCACCTGCCTCGGCACTGGGCATGCACCCAGGGGTGTCACAGGGCACTCCCGGCAGCCACCGGGGGTCAGGTGACACGAGGCGTGGGGCAGCTCAGAGGCACACACACCTGTATCCTCTGGCTGAATCTCAGAGCAGGTGCGTGGGGAGGGCTCTGTTCTCACCGCCCCCGAGTTAGAGTTGCACCGAGGGCTGGATGGATAATCAGGGGCAGGGGCAGCCTCTGGTCGCAGCAGAAGCCTGCGTACCCCACCGCCTCTCCCGTGGAAGGGCTCAGAGCTGTCAGGGAGCAGACGTGGGTCAGGTTACCGCATAGACCCCAAGTTGGGCAGCAGGAGCGGACAGGGTAAGAGAAGCTGTCAGTTAGCGACCTGCCGGGTCAATGGCAAATGCAATAAAGAGTTACATGTGATTTTAAAAATACAAATCTGATGTAAGTAGTAAATGTAGTAAAATATAGTAAATGTACATGTTTCGGGCTCGGTTCTCAAGCAGCACAGGACACGCAATCGGGCACAGCTGTGATACCTAAGAACTTGAAGTCAGTGTTTCCTGTCCTCATGTGTCTACCATGGGCCCTCCTCCCTGATGTTTCCCGCTAACAAGGAACAGCATCTGCATTCACCAGAGCAGCAGAGGCCATGGCATGGCAGGGAAGGACCACATGAAAAGGACAAGAAACAAAAAGGTACTTGGAGTGTGTTTCCTGGAACAAAATGCCTCCATCTACTGTTGACGGAAACTTATGCAAACTGTATGTAAATTTGCAAATGGTAATGCTAATTCCTGCCCAGCCTCTGTTCTTTCATGGCCACGGCTTTGACCTTGGGCTATAAGGAGGAGCCTGGCCCAGCCAGCCACTTGCCACTGTTCAGCCAGAGTCAGTGCTGAAGGGTGAGCCGGACTCATGAGATGGGTATGGATTATACACTGCAGGAGAATCCGGGAGGCATATTCAGGACAGAAGGAGGGGAGGAATCGTGACAGACACTTAGGGGTCAGACTGGAAGCTAAAGGGGTTACTGGTGTCCAAGATACGACGGGGGAAAATAACTGACAAATTCATGAATTGCCCTTAAAACCAAATGTCATGTGTTTTCTTACATCATCCTCTACTTTGGATTGCTAATATTTTTCACATGTATTTTCCTTATCTGACCACCTCTCCCTGCTGCAACCCACCAGCTGGGGAACTCTACCGCACCAAGGGTCCAGGAAAACATGAATGGACAAGTAAGTAGCTGGGAAAATAAGTAACTGCTTCATTAAGCTCGTTCCTCCCATGAAAGGCGCCATTATGGAAGTAGAGAAAAAAATTCAACAGAGCGCGGTTATTGTCCTCCATTAATGTTGGCAGGGTAGTTGTTTCTCTCCTATTCACCTAAGCCTCTGGGTTGACGGGTGGCTTCCCCATGTCCCATGTGCTTTGGTTCCAGGCAATGGGCTCTGCTTCCTCGACCTGCCAGCAGCTGTTCCCTGCACTTTGCCGCAGAAAGCAGGCACGGGCCTAACTGGGGAGCAGCAGTTGCTCTGCCGCAGGGCCTCCCTGGTTATGTCACAGAGGCGTGCTAAAAACCAAGTGTGAGTTGCACGTGCACACGTGACCATGCGTGCACATGTGACCGTGCGTGCACACATGACCGTGCGTGCACACGTGACTGTGCATGTACATGCAGGCTTCCCAGACACACTTAGGGCCACTGTGACTGACCACCCATCCATTCACAATAACTCTCCCAATGCTTGGCTCCCCCTTCGACAACACTTCCCGTCCCTGTCGTAAAACACTCCCAGTGACACTGTCCATCAGACTACAAAGCTGAGTGGCAGGCTGAAACCTCAAAGGAAACCCACCATCTAGTTTAAAACTTCCCTGAGTGCAGCGCCAGCCAGGAACAAAGGCTCCGAGGGAACCTGAGCTGGAAATGTCATCCATCATCACGCGAGAGGAAAGAACCTCTAAGTCCAACCAGAGGGCGCCTGCAAATATCCAGCACTGCCTGCCACTTTGATTGATGGCCACCCTTCTAATGAGCTCCTTTTGTCTCAGAGGTTTCCAACCAACATAAGGCTCCCTTGCTCCCCCCACCCCCTCCCCTGCCATTTGCCTTTTCGGGGAGACAGCACCGGAGCAGGCACTGAGCCTCACTTGCCCCTTCCACTGGGCGACCAGCCACGCCCATGGGACCATCCATCCCCAGGCGTGGAGCTCCCGCACTGACCTTTCTCAGGAGGAAGCAGATGCGCTCGATGTTCCTCAGCCGTTCCCTCTATCGGGGTGCACAGGAAAGAAGAAGAGGGGAGGTTAGATGCTCTGCTGAAGGAATGTGAGCAGCCCCCACAGTCAGCCCCCTGGGAGAGGAGGCAGAACCCCCCTGAGGCCTGCAGGTTCCCACCCAGCAGCTCGTAACCAGTTTTTGCTCATAGCACTCAATAGCAAAACCAACAAACAACAACAACAATGAAAAAAAAAAAAAACCCACAAATAATCCAAATGAAAATGTGCAGAGGATCTGAACAGGTATTTTTCAAAGACATACAGCTAGCCGCAGGTACGTGAAAAGGTGGTGGTCACTGACGATCAAGGAAATGCAGATCAAAACCGCAGTGAGCGGTCACTTCACGCTTGTCAGAATGGCTGTTACCCACAAGACAAGAGACAACAGGTGCCGCTGAGGACGTGGAAGACAGGGAACCCTCATGTGCTATTGCTGGGAATGGAAATTGGGGCGGCCGCTACGAAAACATGCGGAAGGTTCCTCAGAGAGTTAAAAAACAGAACTACTGTATCATCCAGCAATTCTACTTCCAGATGTCTCCCTGGAGGAGATGAAGTCACTGTCTGGAAAAGGCATCTGCACCTCTGTGTTCGTGGCAGCAACATTTATAATGGCCTGAGCACCCCTGGATGCACGAATGGGCAAGGAAAATGTTGTGTGTGTATACATAAATACACACCATAGCGTACTACATTACAGTAGGCTCTCACACTCACAGTACGCACACCGGAATATTACTCAACCATAAAAAGAAGGTAATCCTGCCATTGCCAACAACGAGGATGGACCCTGAGTGTTCACTCAGCAAAATAAGACCGAAAAAGACAAGTACCCTATGTTCTCGCTACAACATGGAATCTAAAAACAAAACAAAACAACAACAAAGCAAACTCATGGAAAAGGAGATCAGGTGTGTGGTTATGAGAGACAGGGAGCAGGGGAGAGAGAATTGGATGGAGAGGGTCAAAGGTACAAACTGCCAGTTAGAAGACAACAAAGACCTCCGGACGCCCTCGAGGCTGAGTCAGCCCTCCTGGGAAGACTGCCCACTTTCTCCAGAGCACAGCTTAGAGTCTAAGGTAAGGGAAGTGTGCCCCTGATTAGAGTCTAAGGTAAGGGAAGTTCTCTGCCATTGAGTCTATTTTTCTAAAGTGAGGGCATTTAGAGGAAGGAATCATCACACTAAATTAGACACCAACAGTGCCCCCAGGCTAAGAGGTTTCGAGACATCGAAGTCCATCCCCGGAGCCTGACTCAGGGCTGAGAACAGGAGCCCACGGCCAGGCGGGAGGTGATGGTCACGTCATACACACACGGCATGCCTCTGCCCCTTTCCCGCACTGACTTTCTTGTTTTCCAAAGCCCCTCTGAGCACAGCTGCGGCGTCTGCCAATGCTTCATTACAAGGCAATTTGGTGACCATGGACGTGATGCTAATGAACTTGCTCACAGATCTGAAGAAGACAGGTGGCTGGGCCACTTGAGCTTCCCTAATTGAATCATACCGTGATTCCTGTGCATCTGTTAAGCCCTGAGGAAAGAGCCCACATCGGGACAAATTAGTGTCCCCATGGCTAGGAAGACAGACCATGTCCTCTGCAACAAACCCCATGTGTGTCCACACACATGTGCACACACAAACCCCACACACCACTGGGCACTGAGGCCGCCTACATGGAGAGTAAGGGGAAAGGTGTGAGGGGCCAGGCATGGATAGGGAATGCACTAACTCTTTCCCCACAGGCTAGTCGTCTGGTGGCTCCCCTTACTTGACAGGGATACTAAAGGGTCCGCTGGTAACGGTAGGGGAAGGGCTCAATGAGAAGCTAGGAGTAAAACAAGGCCCTCCTCCTCCCTTTCAACTCCTGGAAGGGGGTCCACCCCGACAGCCCCACAAGATTTGGAGCTCTAGGGGGTCTCTGACCCAGAGAGCCGGTGGGCCTGGGGCTCACTTGTAGAGCAACTCTTTGTAAGCTAAGTCCACCTAAAGCGGGGTCACCAACCAGTGCGGTAGCTTCTCCAAGCTACCTGAGACGGAGATGCAGATTCGGGGGCTCTACGGAGCCCAAAAGACCTTGCACGAGTTAATGAGGCATCCAAAGTACTTAACTTCCTGCTGGGGATGAAATCATAAGAACCAAGAAAATAAGTCTGCTACTCTTCCATGGAGGGTTTTAACAGATTTTTTTAGAAATCTTGGAGAAGAGTCCTTTCCCAGGGAGACTTCGATCTATCCATGGCTGGCAGCGTCCAAGCTCCTTGATTAAGTCATTACCCAGTTAGAAGTGTGGCTTTCATGATAAGAGTGAAGAGCTGAGACCCAGCCTTCGTGCTACACCGCATTCTCCCTACTGTGAGCACGAACTGTGTGCAGGCCGAGCGCCTACTGTGTGCAGGCTTCGTTCCCGCACTGACCTTCCCCAGAGGCGTGCATGTCAGTCCTATATTCTCCACTCCGTCAGAACGACAGAACTTGCCATGGCCGGAGGGACGAGGCTCCACAAAGCCATCTCTGGTTTCGCCGATCGCCTGGGCTGAATTGGCAGGACAGAATGGAGCAGAGGACACGTGTCTGTGCTAGTGTGTGCCTGGGCTCATTCAAGAAAGCCCTGGGTGTATTTGGTGAGCTCCTCTGAACCCGCCTGTCTAGGAGGAGGGAAAGCAGGCTCCCTCAGACTAGAGCAGCTTGGGACACCGGGTGGGGACCAACGGGCCAGGTGTGTGACACTGGTGCAGAACACTAAACATCCAGGAAGAAATGAGACCAGGGGAGGGGGTTACCCTTCAGGCCTGGTGCTGCCAAGTCATCACAGGTGGATGATGGGGAGACCGGCAGATGGAAACAAAATGGATTTTAATGCCAAGTACATGTCACGAAGCCTAAGAAGTTTTCAAGTGCATCTTAGAGATTCTTGCAACTTGCCACAAATTTCAGCTTCACACCGTCAACTTTGAAAGGCTTTGGCTCTATTTCACAGAACTGAAGAATCTGATGCCCAAGGATTATAAAATCAGGCATTAGAAAATCAAATGTTTGAAAGAGACAACATTGAGGAGGCAGGTGGTAAGAACACGGGCTCTGGGGACAGGCAGACCTCCAGTCCCTGGCCCATTCATTGGAAGTAGGGTCCTCCTCCTGTTCCTGCCAAGGCTGCTTTCCCTGTGCACTCCAGGGCACACAGGGACAGCAGCCAGATGGAATGGTCAGATCAGCGCGTGCTGAGCTTGGGGCCAAGGACCAGACAGCATCAGATTCCCCAGTGGGAGGCAAGCTGACCTCAGGCTCACAGAGCCTCTCGAGAGGAGCAGCGGATATGGACATGGGCCCAGGGTCTCTGTACATCCACCCACTCTGTGTGTCTCCCTCTGAGAGACCAGGCCAAGCGCAGCGGGCAGACAGCCGCTAAGGGTCCCATACGCTGCCAGCAGGCTGGCCGACATGGTTATTCAAGATGAATAACCAGAAACACCAGCACGAGGCCTTGAAGACTCGACCGTCAGAGCACAGCAGACCTTTCCCACCTGGCTTCCTGGGATCAAAATATTTCACTTTGCAAGATGCTATGTCGGGACCTGGTGGACCTCAGGAATGAGAAGGGTCCCCAACGGCCCTGAGTCAGGAGTGGAGGCACTTTACCCACTCCCCCCATCAGAACATCCCTCCTCCCCCATGGGACCCACCATCCCCTGGCATCCCCCTGGCAACCCACCTGGACACCACCCTGCACCCCACTGACACCCGCTACTTACCGCATGAACGGGGTTACACTGGTCTATGGGGCTCTTAAAATCCGTCCGTAACTCATCGAAGGCAATGATCTGAAATGGAACGCGCAGAACCAAGAAGTTAGTGCAAAGGTGAATCAGTGCACCACGTCTCCCTGTAGATTTGCTTCAAAATGATATAGGAGGCAGGAAGAAGGTACCCGTGAACTAAGAATGGCCAGGAGGCGGTCGCCGTCAATGCTGGTGATGGATACCTGGGGCTGATGGTCCTCCTGGGTTTTCTTTGTATGCTTCAAACTCCCCGAAGTAGGGAAAGGGCAAGATACTACTGTTCAAGGGCATGTGCCTGCCATGAGGAGACAAGGAAGTCCTACAGACCTAAAGCAATCTAGCGCACACACACAACACTGTACTCTAAACCTTAAACTGACCAAGAGAGGAGCTCTTAAGTGATAACTATGTGTGGGGACAGAGGGTCGCTAATCGTACAAGGGGAACCTTTCCACAACATTCCTGTATCAAATCGATAACATTGTATACTTAAACTTACACAATGTTGCAAGCTAAAGGTATTTATCTCAATGGTTGTGAAGGCCCCAAGGCTTCACAGGCTTCCCGTGCTTTACAAAGACATGGAGCAAACTCTATTACGGTGACGGCAGGTGCAGGTGTGGATAAAGGCACAAGAAATTCAAACTTTAAGCTGGCGCTTTCCACTTCTCTCCTTGCATGAAGAAGCTGTTTATTTTCTATTTGTGTTTATTTTGGCAGAGATGCTGACTGGAAGTGAGACGGACAGAAGGCAGGACAGAGGGAGAAGAAAAATAAAGAAAGCAGGGTTGACGTCAACGGAGAGGACCCGACCTCCAGCAGTTCACGGGCTGGACAATCAGCCCTGAGCAGTCCCGTCTTCACAGATGGGTCGCTGGACGTGGGTCCTCCGCTTCATTCTGGACTCACAGCTCGCCAGAGAGCACCGGCATGGAGGACAGGTGTCTCTCGTCTCACCAACACAGGGCTCAGAGTAAGTACTCAGTGGAGGAAACAACCTAGTTCCCAGCACAAAGCAGGTGTAATTTTAAAGCAATCACATGTCATCCTGATTTCAAAACTCCTCCAGAATTCGGGGGAAATTCTAGTATAACCTGTAGTAAGTAGATGTATTTCTGCCTTACCCCTGTCCTTGAACCATTAGTGACAAGAACACACCTCTCACTGAGGGGGCTCAGGCCGTTCCTGGCTCCCTCTAATTAATACTGTCTCCCTTTCTTGCACTTACATAGGACTCCCTGAAGATCCCACCCACATCCTAAGCCTGAGTCAGCAAACTACAAAGCCAAATCCAGTCCGACACCCATTTTTGTCCAACCTGGGAGCTAAGAATGGTCTTTATGCCTGTCAAGTCATTGAAAAAAATCAAAAGAAGAGTATTTCGTGACATGTAAAAGTTATATTCAAATTTCAGTTGCCATAAATAAAGTTTCATTAGAACACAGATGCATTCATTCTTTGCTACACCGTGTGTATTTTCCCACTACAATGGGACAGTCCAGTTGTTGCAACAGACACTATATGCTCAACAAAGCCCAAAATAGTTACTTTCTTGCCCTTTGCAGAAAAAAAAACTTGCCAACTCTTGGTCTACTCTTTTATTTTCCCTCTAAAGCCTTACCATCCAAGAAGGTAGCCACACTAAGCCATTTAAATTTTAATTTTAGCTAGGTCAATTAAAAAATTCAGCTTCCACATTTTATTTGCTCAAAAACCACATCTGTTTGGTAGCTACTAAATGGTACAGACACAAAATATTTCCATCATCACAGGAAGTTCTGTTATATAACTCTGCTTTGGAGACATATAGGATAAGTCAAATCACTGTAGCACAAGGAATCCCCTTAAGTATTGTCGGCTATCCTGAACCTGGCAAATCTTTGTTCTTTAAGCTAACTCTCTCCAACCTTTCTATAAACTGGCACTAAGCTGTCTTGTCATCCTGGTTGCCCTCTGCTGGCGTTATGGGTTGGAAATGTCCATACTAAAATGTGACTGTCAAAAATAAGTGCCACATTCAAGATGAGGTCAGCTTAGCACAGAGAGCAAACATATCACCTCCTCTGTTCTGTAACCTATGTCTCTGTTAATGCAGCCTGATAGCATTAGCTTTTTTGTTTCCATATCACAGCCCTGGCTTCATTCTGACCTTGCACTGCCTAAAAGCCCCAGATCTTTCTCATGGGCTCATTAAACTCAGTTTAATAATTCACATTGTTCTGTATGCACATTGTTGGATATGAAGGCCTAAGAGCAAGAACCGAACTTTATCCCTCTTTATCCCTCTTCCTCCCTCTTTGGTTTGGTCCATCAGTCCAGTCTGCTGAGATATGATCTATCTCCCAAGCACAAATCCTAATGAACCTAATGTCCTCGATATGCACATCCACGTTCACTCGGACACAGGTGCGAACTGATCAGAGACCAGGGCAGAGCCCGAAGTTCGCCCTTCCTTGCTCCCACGAGGCTGGCATCAGCAACCCTTCAGCCTTTTATTTATCCAATTACACAGACAATTCACCATATTTTGATCCAGAAACCTAAAGTCAGTCCCCGGATGGCTTTAGAACCCCATAACCATTGGTGTTCCACATACCAGCCCAAAGAGGCAGGGAGCCCAGGAGGAAATGAGTCAGACCCTGAGCTGTGGCTGTGACTGTCCAGGTCCCATCCCGCCCCAACCCGGTGCAGGGGCTGGGAGGGGAGTCTGGAGTGAAGGTGCGTGAAGGATGGGGAGGGACTCGGAGCTGCTGAATGCGTCTGAGAGCCAGGGCCAGGCCTGGAGGAAGGAGTGAAGAAAGGAGTAAGCTCTGAGTATGACTTCGGCCCCAGAGCTCCGTGACACAGCAGACACTCGGCGGTGTTTCCCGGGCCGGTGCTGGCACTGGGCACAAGGAGGACAGAGGCTTCAGCATCCCTGCCTCCCGGAACCACTCACGAATCCATGCATCGCTCACGTGACAACTTGTTTATTACATGCTCGCCACACCAGGGCCCTGGGCTTCAAGTGCACGCTTCTGATTGTTTAACCTTTGGCCACCCAGTGAAGTAGGTACTATTATTGTCCCTGTCTTAGAGGCCAAGAAGCTGAAACCAAAAGTAGTTACAGTCCTCGCCCAAGATCACTGCTCTGGCCCCAGGATTCACACCAAGGCCTCTCTTGATGCTGACCTCGGGGCAGTTAGCTTTACAAGGCTCTGCCTCCCAAGACACATGGAGGGGAGGAAGCGGGATCCCAAGGACATCCAGAATAAGCAACTGTGTCTGTGGAATGAAAGCAAGCTTCCAGGGGCTCCTGGAGGGGCTCAGTCGGTTAAGCGTCCAACTCTTGATTTCAGCTCAGGTCCTGATCTCAGGGCCGTGAGATCGAACCCAGCATCAGGCTCCAAACTCAGTGCAAAGTCGGCAAGAGATTCTCCCTCTCCCTCTGCCCCTCCCCCGCAACTCTCTCTCTATAAGTAAATACATAGAATCTTAAAGGAAGAAAGAAGAGAAGAGAAAAGAAAGGAAAGGAAAAGAAAGCTTCCAGAACAGGTGAGAGTTAGGTTACCCTCTTCTTAGCACTCATTCATGGTCTCCCAGCCCCCACCTCCTGAGCAGGGTCCGAGCCCGGGAGACACAGGTGGTGCGGTGGGCATGGCCCTGTGCATGCTGTGTGTTTAACTTCATAAGGAGCCGAGAAACTGCTTTCCCAAGAGGCTGTACCACCTCAGCACACCGCCCCCCAGCAATGAGTGAGAAGCTTGGCATCCTTGCCAGCCCTGTGTCAGCTTGGATGTCTTCTACTTCAGCCATTTCCATGGGTGTGTAAAGGTGTCCCATTTTGTTTTAATTTGCATTTCTCCAATGACTAATCAGAGATGTTGAGCATCTTTTCATGGGCTTAATCACCCCCTGTATGCTTTCTTTGGTGAAGCATGTGCTCAGATCTTTTCCCCATCTTTTTGTTTTTAAGCTGTTTTCTTATTGATGATTTTTGAGAGCTCTTTATATATTCTGGATGCAAGTCCTTTGTCAGATATATGATTTGGCAATATTTTCTTCTGCTGTGTGGACTGTCTGTCCATTCTTAGTAGCATGTTTCTCAGAGCAAACGTCTTCTTACCATTTCTCGGTTTATCCAATGTATCTCTTTCTCTTTTACTGATCAGACTTCTGGTGTTGGATCTAAGAACTCCTAAGGCTGTACAGATATTTCTGGTTTTTTCCTAAATAGCATTTTATTTATGGGAAGGTTATGATTTTTTAAAGATTTATTTAGAGAGAAAGACTGTGTGCACAAGATGGGAGAGGGGCAAAGAGAGAGGGGGCGAGAGTCTCAAGCCCATGCCCCACTGAGAATGGAGCCCGAAGCCCAGCTCCATCTCACAACCATGAGATCATGACCTGAGCCAAAATCAAGAGTCAGACGCTTAACCGACTGAGCCACCCGGATGCCCCTCTTTATGGGAAGGTTTATTAAGATACAACTTCAATTTCTGTAATAGATGTAGGACTATTTGGGTCAACTCGAGCTCTGAGAGTTTGCAGGAACTGGCCCATTTCATCAAAACTGTCACGTTTACAGGGTGCACTCAAACTCAGGGGCCCCCCTGGCTGTTTCAATTTCTCTCGTAGGCCATCTCCTCTCCTTGTTTTCTCACCAAATTTGAGACAGAGGTTCCAACGAGCACAGACAAAGGCTGGAAAGGGCAGCTGCAGATGAGCAGGGACAAAGCTAGAAGAGCGGTTCTCCCACCAGCCGAGGACCAGGGACTCTGGAGACCCAGGCTGCCTGGGGCCTCGCTGGGCTGGGCCGGGCAGACATGGCAGAAGCAAGGCCTGGGGTGGAAATCGGAGGTTTGCCGGAGACAAGAGGGAGACAGGAGGTCAGATGCCAGGACCTGGATGTGTACTGAGCTGGAGGCTCAGGAGAAGCCGAGGCAGGCCGGGGGAGTCTGCAGCCAAGTCAGGAAGAAAGGGGGTCACAAGCAGAGGAAGCACGTGGTGTGAGGCTATTTCTTTGAACACCGAGCCCTGTCTATGCCAACACTAGGCGCCGA